CTCAGCAAATACGAAGGCCATGACGTGATGAAATTATACGCTTACTGTCTTTCGGGTCTTATTTTACGCTACGCACTACTGAGAGAGCTTCGCACCAGTGAGAGCGCCTTGAAGCTCCGATCTACTGAAGGTCCTTCGAAGCTCCGCTCTACTGAGAGCGCCTTGACCTCAAATTCGATGCGAGAGACCGAGAAGAACAAAGTTTTGCTGTTGTACGAAGCAAAATAAGACCCGAAGAGAGAGCGCAGCAAATACTGCAATTAAACGATGCCCTGTTCTCTCCGAACCGCTCGTCGAAGTCATGGGACGCCTCTTTGCTAGGGTAAACCCAAGACTGCCCCCTCCAGCCCCCTCCAGCCAGTGTCCATTGTATTGCAATGCTTGGATGGAACATTTGATTGGTATACGAGTAGTAGTGGCATTCGGCATTCGGCATTCGACATTTGCTCCGTTGTTCTCTTTGAATGGGGTGATAAATTATTTCCCCGGCATTTACATAAATGCTTTGAATGCATTAATTAAAGTCCGAATGCCTCTCAGACTCCCTCCATGGCACGCCCCCAAATAGACAGACAGCCAGCCTCCGCCTCCTCCTCCTCCTCCTCCTCCACCTCCTCCAGCACCATTGAGCCAACTGTTGTTCGGATCCAATCAATTGTTGTTTATTATTGGGCCAGGCCCATAGAGAAGCCATTACCATTCCGATTAGCCAAACGGCCTTATACGTACGCCAGACCAGAGTATCTTTTGTTTGGCGCGTATCTGCAATCGTTGGAGAGGAGAATCTACATATATATATATATATACGCCATTTTAAGTGGCCCGCCGCCACCGCCACCACCGCCACCACCGCCACCGCCACCGCCTAATTGTTCATAAAAGTCAACAGTCAATAGCTCTTTATGTTTGCGCGTTTGAAATTTATATTTATTTATTGTTATTTTCGTACCGATGAAGCAGCAGCTTCATAATTTTTTCTCTCTGTATTTTTTTTCTCTTCAGTAGCCATTGCCCAAGCCAGGCCAGTCCAAGCCAGGCCAAGCCAAGGTCTGTGCCATTCTTTGCAATTAGCAACTGAATTTATGAGCGATTTCAATTTCAATTTCAATCTCAATGCGATTTGTTTGTTGCCAATTGCTGTCTCTTGGCTGTGGGCTAACGAGTTAGAGAACGGCAGCAATGGCAGCCAAAGGGTTAGCCCCCAGTGATTAGATGAATCACATGTCCATCTATGAGCACAGAAAGACCAAACACAGCACAGAAAGGGGAGTACACAGCCTTGAACGAGGCCCTAAGAGCTTAAGGACTCCGAGAACCCTAAGGTTATAGGTATTTCCCCAACCAACCTCAATTCCAGAACCTTCTTGGCTTCAATCTCTGCCTTTTGTGCCGAGAAAAGCCCTGCCCATTTGACACCTCGGCTACGTGGTAGATCTTCTCTGGTCTGTGGCCCTTCACTTGTTGTATCTCTCATCGAATGCCACGAAACACTGACATAATTTTCTTAGATCATCGCCCAGTTTAGCGGCCATTTCATGCAATTATTGTAATTCTATTAGCAATATCTCAGCGCCCCTGCCCCTGCCCCTGCCCCGTAGACCATAAAACAATTACCTGGTCGTGGTCGGTGGTCAAGGCGGCAATTTGGTAGATTTTGCGATAAGACCAAATCGTCTATGACTCTGGGGCACGACTTGCACTTGGAACCGCCTTTCAACTATTTGCCGCAGGCGTTGGATAGTTCTTAAAACCGTAAGACCTCCGGCTCTAGGGATACAGTGTCCTTTTGGCGGGCTTCTGGGGTGCAACATGTCTTTGATTTGTTGGCTTTTGCTGCTGCCGGCTGGCGGCCTGGGCGCCTTCAGAGCCTCGGATGTGATCCGGCAGCTGAATGGGGACTTCCGACTGGAGCTGAACATCTATCTGGATTGTGGGGGGCACCTCGACGAGCTGCTGCCCCGCCAGGGGCTGCCCAATCTCCTACTCAACACGGACTCGGCCGAGCCGCTGCCCAGGATATTGGGGCGCTTCAGTGAGCGATCCCTGACGATCGCCTGTGGGGGCGACAATCGAACGCTGTCGGGGATGGGGCAGCTGCTGTGGGGACTGCAGCACCTGCCGGTGCTCTTTGTGCTGTCCTCGCCGCAGGAGTTTCCCTTCGAGTGGGCCCTGGGCCGGGGGCTCCTGCGCGCCCTGGCTCTGAATCGAAGCGACGCGGGACTGTACACGTACCAGCCGTATCCGAGCGTGCGGATACGCCGAGTGGCGAGCGTGGCGGAGTACCACCGCCTGACGCGCCTCCGCGACCTGCAGGGGCAGGCGGTGCACATCAGCGTGGAGACCATGTCGCCGCGCTGCTTCCACTACACGAACCGCCGGGGCCGGACCGTCTACGCGGGCTACATGTACCAGCTGCTGCACGAGTTCATCGCGGCCCACAACGGCACGGAGGTGGCCGTCCTGCCGGCCGTGGATCCCCTGCCCCTGGCCGAGGGCCTGCTGCTCTACCAGCGGGGGGGCATCGACATGGCGCCCAGGATCCTGCACACCCTGGGCTGGGTCTACTTCTATCGCAGCCACGTGCTCTTCAACGTGAACGGCTTCATTATGGTGCCGTGGGCCCGGCCCCTGGCCAAGAGCCTGTACATTGTGCGGCCGTTCGAGGGCTCCGTGTGGGCGGCGCTCATCGGCTGCCTGGTCCTGGCCACCGTCGTCATCCGCTGGATGCGCGACGAGACCAGCAGCCTCAGCGCCACCTTCCTGCAGGTGATGCAGCTGATGCTGCAGCAGTCGATGAGCAGCATGCGCCACTTCACGCAGGGACTGCGGCATGTCCTCGTGTTCCTGGCCCTCTTCACCGTCGGCTTCATACTGAACACCCTGTACCAGGCGCAGCTCTCGAGCTCCCTGACGACGGGCCTGTACATGCGGCAGATCAACAGCTTCGACGATCTCGCCGCCGCCGATCGCAAAATGCTGATGGACGAGTTCGACATCGAGTTCCTGACGAACCTCACCAGATCGAAGGTCATCCAGCCGGCCCTCATCAATATCGCCCTCAAGGCGCCGCTCGACGACGTCTTCTACCATCGCAAGCATCTGAACACCACGTACGTCTACCAGGCCATGGAGGATCGTTTGCACTTCGAGCTCTTTCAGCAGAAGTATCTGCGTGTGCCGCTGTTCAAGACCCTGCCGGAGGTCTTCTACCAGGTGCCCTTCTTTGTGGGCCTGCGGCACGGCCTCCCCTTTGCGGCCCTCTTCAACGACTACCTTCGGGGCATCTTTGAGTCGGGCATATTGCTGAAATGGCAGGGGGACGCCTACCTGGAGGGCATATACAGTGGCGAGATACGCTTCCACACATCCCCGGGGCTGCGCATCCAGGTCTTTGACATGGAGTTCTACCATTGCACATATATCTTGCTCGCTCTCGGATGGCTCACCAGCGCCATTGTGTTTCTGGCTGAGAAATGCCTGCCTCATGCTAGAAATGCTTAGATTTCGGTTGAATTTCGTATCGAATAATGATTCTAAATGTGTATCACTCGTCTATAAGCAGATTTCTTATGGGGATAATCGTTTATTTTCAGTGGAGGTATTTTGTTTTTGGGTGGAAGAAAAAAAAATCAGCACTTTCGAATAAGCGTGAGCATTCCTTCTCCATAGCACGAATCAGCACTTTCCGATGAGCGTGGAAATCCCTTCTCCATAGGACGAATCAGCACTTTCGAATGAGCGTGGATATTCTTTCTCCATAGCACGAATCAGCACTTTCGAATGAGCGTGAGCATTCCTTCTCCATAGCACGAATCAGTACTTTCGAATGAGCGTGGATATTCTTTCTCCATAGCACGAATCAGCACTTTCGAATGAGCGTGAGCATTCCTTCTCCATAGCGCGAATCAGCACTTTCCGATGAGCGTTGAAATCCCTTCTCCATAGCACGAATCAGCACTTTCCGATGAGCGTGGACACTCTTCCTCCGTTTAGCTGATTTTTATCTAGAATAATACTCGGGTACCCCATAATGCTGCCAAAATTGTTGCCCCACAAGGCGGCACGAGTCGAAAAACTGCACTTAAATGAATTAAACCAGAGCTGGGGGGTTTTCGGGGGGGATTTCGATTGGGGTGCGCAGGGATTCGGCTGAAGAGCCCCCTTTGAAGGCCCTAATTCGTAATATTAGCACTTGGCCGGGCAGCAATTGAGGACGCCCGATGACATGCGCTTTTTGTGGCCTGATAAGAGGCAATCATTCGCATTGTGCAACGTGCTAGGAGGCAGTGTCGGCCATGGATTGATGGATTAATGACGGCCCGTGGGGGGCCTATAAAAAGCGGCAGGGCCGTGCGGCTGAGTCCCGAGTCGCCTCAATGGACTTGCTGAGCCTCAACGCGCTGCAGAACCTCGCGCTGCTCTCGACCATCCAGGAGCTGAATGGCCTGTACGGCATGGAGCTGAATGTTTTCCTCGACTTTGGCAACAGATCGGACCTTCTGGCCGCCACCGGGCCGCAGCCTTCGGTGGCGAGTCTTTGGATACGCGATGCGGCAGTGCAATTGGTGCTCGAGGGGAATTACAGCAGTCGCACTCTGACCATCGTTCGACTGGAGGAGGGACAGACACGAGCGACCCTGGAGTACCTGACGGCCTGGCTGTGGCGCTACCAGCATCTGCAGGTGCTCATCGTCCACCCGGGGGCTGGAAAACTGCTCGAAATCTTTGGCTACTGCTGGCGGCAGGGCATGGTGCACATCCTGGTGATGGAGGCGGCATCGGGAAGGCTGTACAGCTTCATGCCGTATCCGAAACTGCGACTGCTGTCCCTGGGCTCTGTGGGGGAGTACTACCGGCGGACCCGGGGCATGCTGTGGGACTTTCACGGCTACAACATCACCACGGGGCTGGCCTACAACGGGGGACCGCGCTGCTTTGGCTTTCGGGACAGCCACAACCGCCTGATCCTGGCCGGCTACATGCTGAACATGGTCCTCGAGTTCGTGAAGCACTTCAACGGCACCAAGCAGCTGATCTACATCACGTCCGTGGACCAGGCCATCGGACTGCTGGCCAATCGCACGATCGACCTCATTCCGTATCTGATGGTGCCTGCCGACGAGTACTACGTCGCCACGAAGGTGCTGTATCTCGAGAACTGTGTGATGATGGTGCCCTCCTCCAGGCCGCTGGCCACGTTCCTCTATTTGGTGCGGCCCTTCACGTGGGGCACGTGGCTCGCATGGCTACTGGTGCTGGTCTACTGCTCGGGGGCCCTGCTGGTGCTGTCCCGGGGGCGCCTCAATGCGAGCGCCGCCTTCCTGGAGGCCCTCTGCCTGGCCCTGTTCCTGGGCGGCGCCCGGGGCCCAGGCTCGCCCCGCGACGTACTGATCTTTGTCCTGCTGACAGCCGGCGGCTTCGTGCTGACCAATCTGTACCTGGCCCAGCTGTCGACGAGCCTGGCGGCCCGGCTCTACGAGCGGGAGATCGACACGGTGGACGACCTGCCCGGCACCGATCTCAAGTGGTACATGATCGCCTACGATGCCGCCCTGGTGCGCAGCCAGTTCGCCAATCGTCCGGCCGTGATCCGGCGCATTCTGGTCGGCTCCAATGAGAAGACGGACGATCTGCGGCGCGAGCTGAACACCTGCTGCGTCCATTCCGGCTACGAGGATCGCATCGACTTTATTCTGTACCAGCAGAAGCTCTTGCGCTTTCCCATATTCCGCAAACTGCCGGAGATCCTGTACCAGCAGCCCCACCAGATACCCTCGTCCTTCGGTCGTCCCTATCTGCGGCTCTTCAACGACTTTACGCTCCGGATATTCGAGAGCGGCATCCAGCAGAAGATGAAGTGGGACTCGTACCGCCACGGCGTCCAGAGCGGCCAGATACAGTTCGGTTTCAGGGATCGCTACATGGAGGTGCGTTCGAACGACGTCGAGTATTACTATGTGATTGGGGGCCTCTGGTTGGGCGGCCTGATCCTCGCCACCGTCTCGTTTCTCTGCGAATTCTATCTCCTGAATAAAGTGTGAATGGCAAATGAAATATTTCCCTGTCACCTGCTGGAGTCTCGGCTCTACTGGGGCGCGCGGGGGACTATGGTTACGCCCCCCTTGCAGCCTCATTTGCATGGCCGCTGGCCGCTGGCCGCCTGCCTCTGAAGGTGTCTTCGATTATTGGCAAACATTAATTATTTGCGCGCCGTTTGTACGCCTCCTTCTCCTTGGGTTTTCCATTGGTTTTGTGAAAGGCCTGGGCTAGTAGTTCAAATGTTTATTTTTCTACCGCTGCCGCTGCTGTGGTGTATCTTTGATTGCTGGCTGCAGCCAGACTGCAATTTTTGCGCAATGAATGTGAGACGAGGTACGGTCAGGTCGTAGTCTCTCTCTCTCTCTCTCGCTCTGGCTCTCTTCGAGCCTGGCTTATTTATTTTTGGCCAAAATTGCACATTTTCCCATGCTGCTGTTGCCTGTTGCCTGCTGCCTCTCGTTGTTGCTGCCGTTGTCGCGTCTAATCAAGGAGCGGAGTTAAGAGTCGCCCCTTGGTTGCCATTTAGCCCGAAGCGGCGGCTGCCTGCCTGCCTGCCTGCCTGCCTGCCCCAGCCAAAACGATGAATATTGATTTAATTGAAAGTCATTGAGAGGCGCGCACGTACTTCATAGACACGAGGCGCTGCCTCTCGATACTCTATCTGTGGCAAGAGGAGTCGAGTCTGCCACTTGTGTCGCGTGGGTGGGGGGGGGTAGAGCCAGCTTTTTGTTGCTTCGGAAAGTGTATTTGTTGCTTCGTTTCCTGCCGTTGCTGTTGTCGTGGCGTGGCAGCTTGTGCCCTCCCACATGCCACACAGGCACACAGGCACACATGGGGCAAGAACCGACGCCCCAGCTAAAGTTTGCCGCCGCTGCCGCTGCCGCTGGCACATTGACACAGTTTTCCGTTTGGCAGATGTGCCCTCCCCCCCCTCCAGCCCCCCCCACCGCTCCTCTGTGTATTGGAATTTTTGTCGACTTGTTTGCCGCGCTGGCGATGCTGCCAAATGTCAAAAGGTTAATACGTGAATTAACAGCAAATTTCTTTGACTTGTGTGCGACTGCATGCCCGCCACCAGGGGGGTGGGGGGGGGGCCTTTTTTCGGGGGCCTTTTTGTTGCTGTTTCTTGTTCGTGCAGCTGCTGGCGCTTTCATTGGAATGCGGGCGTTGCTATGTTTGTTGATTCTCCTCCTTGGTTTTTGGGTCCATCCGCTCGCCGCTTTCTTCTTTCTCCGCATTGGGGCTTTGTCTCTCTCTCTCTCTCTCTCTCTCTCTCTGCCACAGATATGGAAAATGGCTTTTTGTTCATAGTTTTCTTCCCCAATAAATCAATGGGGAATCTCTCTCTCTCTCTCTCTCTCTCTGGGGGCGAATTCCTTGCATTTTCCCAGGGCCCAAAGCCCACGATAAAACAACGAAGCTCTTAAGTATGTTGTAAACTTTCCCATTACTTGCAGTGGGGGGCGGGGGGGAAAACACTCCATTATTTTCTTCGATATAAAATCAGTTTAAAACAGACAAATATTTAGAGTGAATTTTTTAATGGAGTTTTCCATTTATTTCAAGCTCCTAAAATTCTTTTGATATTCCCCCCCCCCCCAAAATGCATTTTCCTTAAAGCATAATTTTATTTTAAAATTTAAAATTAAAAACTTTAATTGGCATGCAATTATTATGGATTTGCTTCCTTTTATATAAAAAAAATAACAATTTAAATCGTTTAAAAAATTGTACAAAATAGTACAAAAAAGTCATGCTTCAAAAAATTAGCCAATCTTCTAGTAAATTCATTAATTTATCGAAAAAAATTGATTTTTTTTTCCTGAAAATCGCGAATTGTTGCTGTGCCAACACATAAGGACGGCACTGTATATCGAATTTGCTGCAATTTTATATTGTGGCTTTTTATATTATATTTAATATTATTTTAAATATTTCTTGATTTTTTAAATTATTATATTATATTTTATTATATTAAATATTTATTAAATTTAATAATTATTTAATTATATTAAATATTTATAAAATTTAATAATTATTTTATTATATTTATATTACATGATATTCATATTTTATTTGGTTTTTGTATTCTATAAAATATTCTTAACATTTTACACTTATATTATATTTGTATGGATATTTATATATTTTATCATTTTTTATATTCTATATTATATTATTTATATATTATTATTTTATTTTTTATATTTATGTTATATTATGTTGTATATTATCTTTATTTACATTATATTTATTTATTTATTTTTCTTTTTTTTTTTAAATTTCCTTTAGTTTTTATGGGTTTTCACCCAAGAATCCATGGCGTGTGCTTTTTCTCCTCCTTTTAGCTTTTCATTTGCACTCCTTGCACTTTCCTCCCTGCGAATCCTGCCGTTCCCCTTCTCCATATCGCCATGAAAGCTCCCCAAAGCTTAAAGGTCCCTGTTCTGGGATGAACTTTTGCGTGAAAGCTTCTCCCTTAGGTGTCCTTGCTGCTTAGCGAAGACCACAACCATTTGGCGCCCTGCGAGAAATATCCTTGCCCTGCTTATGTTCCTGGCCGGCAGATGGCGTCACTTCCAGCACGGAAAACACATTTTCAATTATTTATAAAATTCCAGGCCAAACGCTCGATTGAGCGCCCCACAAGCAGCCCCCCAACAGAGGGGGGGGGGGGGGGGGTATGCAAATTTTGTGCGCCACAGCGGCGGCAAGTGCATAATTTTTATTATTATTATTATTATTATTATTTTCCATGTGGCTGTGGCGCTACAGAAGTGCCTCTTGCCGCGTCTGGTGGCAGCCAGCTCCAGCGATAGATAGATAGATACAATTCATTAAGCGATCGTTCGCTCACAGCCCCAGCGATTAGATCGCTCGCAAAAAGGCACACAAAAAGCGGCTTTCTGGCGTATCTTTTATCAGTATCGGTATTATATTTAGTTGAATGGACCACAGACAATTTATTGGCATTTTGCTGTGTAAATTATGTTATTTGAATGGGAAAATCATTTTTCCTTTTATTGCCACACACTCGAGAAAAGAGCACAGCCACAGAAAAGTATCTTATGGCCTGACTTTATCTGTATCTTGTGTGTGAAAAGTGGCTCAATCGCGATAGAGCGCCAGCTAACCCCCCCTCCCCCTTGCCACTTGCCGCTTGCCGCTTGCCACTTGCCTCTTTCCATTTTAATTGATTCTTAATGGAAAATATTTCCTTATCATGATTGCAAATTTATGAAAATGTTAATTACAAATCGACACAGATACAGAGCCACAGAATCGCAACATGTTTTAGCCGTAATTCAAGTCCAATTTTCGTTGCGAAAACTGTCAAAGACAGCGGGGGGTGCGGGGGGGGAGTAGCAATTACAACACACACATTCGATAGGGAATCCGGACCGTCCTATGGCCTACGTTCTACAATGTTTTCCAACGAGGAGTATCTCCGTTTTGAGGGCCACTCGAAGGCTTTTGAGACTCTTTTTTTTATGGATTTTGGGGTAGGTTGTGCCGTTAAGCCAGAGTCCAACCCAAGCTGCCCACGACCCTCCAGATCTATGGGAATTTGTTTACAGTCTGTAGGGAATTTTCAAAGATCTGCTTTTGATGGATCGAGATTTTACGATCTGTATCTTTTCCCCTATTTAACGATCAATAAACGCTGACTGCCCTGATAGAAACGATTCTATAGATATTTATGCCCCGGATCCGAACTGATCTAATTTCTCTGCCCCCCCCCAAAGAGAGGGGGGGGGGGGGATATCTTTTACGATCGTTTTTGGCCCGCCATCTGTTGGCGGCACTTGCCCAACAAAATTTAATAACATCATTTGAATGCACTTTGCCTGGGAGTGGAACGCCGCGACTCGCATGGCTTTATTTCTCGCTGCCTAATAGCCGTCCCATGTGGGCAAACATTTAAATTCCCATCTGTCCCAGGGTCCATGCATATTTGCCGCTGCTTTGACGCCATTGTTGCATGCAACGCGGCTGGTGGCTGGGGCGTCAGTAGTCGACAAAATGAAATTTCATATTTTTTCATAATTTTTTTTTGCCGTTACAACTCTGTCGGGGATTGTGGGACAGGGAAATGGGAAATGGGTTCTCGGACTGAGACTTCATTTAATGTACACACCCCCACATCCCCCACCCCACCCCCTGGAGGCGTAGACAGAGTCGCATTTAGCAATTGCAGAAACCAGAAAGAGAGAGAGGGAGAGAGAGCACCGAAACCATGGCCAAAAGCAAATGTCGGGCTGTCTGACGGGAGGGGGGAGGGCGCATCCTTTTCGCGGCTGTACTGAAATCCTTTTTGTGTCTGGGCCGCGTCGCTTCTCATTTTCGCCAGGCGTTAATATTAAAATGCATGTAAAAATGCAGGACTCGAAGGAGGAGCGAGGAGCGAGGAGCGAGGACTCCAGCCGAAGGAGACAGTGCCTGAGCCGTCGTTGGTGATTGTTTGCAATATAAGAAATTATGATACGTTTAATTACCAAGTGGAGAGGAGCCCCTGGCCCCCACCCCCCCACTGAGGGTTGCTGGTGGTGGTGGCACGTGGTGTTCATTAACATCTGCTGTCAGCACATTTGGCGGGGCAGCACTTGGCGGCGTTTGCCTCATGCCACCACGGCTGGTGGCTGCTGGCTGGTGGCTGCTGCCTGCTGCCTGCATTTCCCCAAAGCGCGAGCCCGCGTCTCCACAATTTGCACCTTTTTAATTAACGTGATTGCAGTCGCACCTCCTTGCCCCTACCCCCCCGTTTCGCCTTTATTTTGCCACATGCAAACGCGTTGATCTATGCTCTACGTGCCCCATCCCATGCCGTCCCAAGGGGCAGGTTTCTTCTCATCAGCAGCCACGACGGAGGCTGCCTTCTGCCTTCTGCCTTCTGTCTCAAGTGTGCACTTGCACAAAAAGCATGGAAAAATTCCTTCTAAACTTGGAACACACTCTCTCCCGCTCTCTCCGTGACGTGGCTTTGTCTTTCTGCATAAAGCGA